ATAACCACATGCAAACTAACTGAATAATACCTACCTCCCCACCCTCTCTCCAAATCAACTCAAAAGGGATTAAAGCCTTAAATGTAAGATCCAAAAGAAAAATCTCTAAAAGAAAATAGGAGAAATACATCAGGACATTGGAATGGACAAAGGTTCTTGGTTATAATCACAAAAGTACATGCAACAAAAGCAAAAATAGACAGCTAGATCATATAAAACTAAAAATTTTCTATACAACAAAGAGAACAATCTACAGAAGGGGGGCACAACCTACAAAATGGAGTAAAATATTTGCAAACTATACATCTGACAAGGAGTTGATATTCAGAATATATAGGAAATTCAAATAATTATATCGCAAAAAACCCAAACAATTCAATTTTTAAAATGGTTTATATGCCTAAATAGACGTTCTCAAAAAAAGACATACAAATGGCCAAGAGGTATATGAAAAAAATACTCAACCAATCAGCAGGGAAATGCAAGAACTATATTGGGATATCCTTTCATCCCATTTAGAATAGCCATTATCAAAAAGACAAAAAAATAATAAACACCGGCAAGGATTTGGAGAAAGGAAAAAAATCTCATAAACTGTTGGTAGGAATGTAAATTAGTACAACCATTATGGAAAACAGTATGGAGAATCCTCAAAAACTAGAAATAGAATTACCAGCAAGTATAATACTGGGTATATGTCCAAAGGAAATTAGTGTATAAAAGATATGTATGTATGCCCATGTTTATTGCAACACTAGTAGCCAAGAAATAGAATCAACCTAACTGTTCATCAACTGATGGATGGACAAAGAAAATATGGTGTACATACAATGGAATACTATTCAGTCTTTAAAAAAGAACAAAATCTTGTCATTTGGAAAAACATGGATAGAACTGAAGGACATTAAGTGAAATAAGCCACCATGGAAAGAGAAATACTGAAGGACCTCATTCAGTGGAATCTAAAAAAGTTGATTTCGTAGAAGTAGAGAGTATAATAGTGGTTGCCAGAGCCTGGAGAAGATAGGAATGAGGGAAGGATGTGGATAGGTTGATCCAAGGAGGTCTAAGAATAACTAAGTTAGTTATAGTTAGATAAGAGAAATCAATTCTGGTGTTGTATTACACAGAAGAGTGACTGTAGATAAAGATAAGGTACTGTATATTTCAAAGAAGCTAGAAGAAAGAACTTTGAATGTTTGTATCACAAAGAAATGATGTTTGAGGAGATTCATGTGCTTACTCTGATTAAACAATGTGTATGTGTACTGAAACATCATATGTAACCCCATAAATACGTACAATGTTTATGTGTCAATTTAAAAAGAGAGTAGAAGGTAAAGTTCTTGGTTGGGTCTTTCTTTCACTCTTTTTCTTTGACATCTGGGACATAGCTCTTCCTGGTTTCCTCTTACTTTGGACCTTTCCATTATCTTTGCAGATTCTTTCTTTCAAATGTGCCTTAAATTCATGGATGAAATAAATATTTATTGCATACTTATTATGTGCGAGGCACTATTCTAAGAACTAGAGAGGCTTAATAATAAATGAAATAGCAAAGAGTCTCTGTTCTCATGGAAGTTACACACTGATAATGTAGAAGACCGTCTCCTAAGATTACATCTATCATTTCCTCCTTCCATGTATACAAATGCCACTCTAAACATCAAGAGATGGAGACTTTTTCTTCACCCCCAAACATGGGTCAGCCCTGTGATTTTATTTATTTATTTACTTATTTACTTACTTTTTTGGTACAAGGGATTAAAACCAGGGAGGCTTAACCACTGAGCCACATCCCTAGCCCTTTTCTTTTCTTTCTTTTTTTTTTTTTTTGAGACAGGCCTCACTAAATTGCTGAGACTGGACTGGCCTCAAACTTGTGATCTTCCTGCCTCAGCCTCCCAAGTCACTGAGATTATAGGCATGTACCACTATACCTGGCAATTTTTTAAAAAAATTTTCGTAGTTGTATATGGACAGCATGCCTTTATTTTATTTGTTTTATTTTTATGTGGTGCTGAGGATCAAATGCAGTGCCTCACGCATGCTAGGCAAGTGCTCTACCAGTGAGCTACAGCCCCAGCCCCTGGCAATTTTATTTTAATTGATATATTGCAACAGAAATTAAGTTCTAGGATTTCTGGATCAAGAGTTTAAGTAAACTGGCAACTTTCACATCCTCTCTGAGAAGCCAGCTGCCATGTTCTAAAGCTTCAGCCATAGCACGGGCCAATAAGAAACAATGTGAAGAGAGAAGCCACATTCAGGAACACTGAGGTGCCAGAGTGTAGCTTTCTGAGACCTTCCAGGCCTACTCAGTCACCAAATGAATGCAGGTGAGTAAGATAGGCCAAGGCAAAGTAGGTCAGAAAGTCAGCCTAGTCAAGCCTTGCCTGAATTCCTGACTCAAATTCCTGAGGAATGATAAGTTATTGCTTTAAGCCACTAAGTTTGGGATGATTGATTATGCTGAAACAAGTGATAAAGCTGTGAGATAATAAATATAAAATAGGTAGTGACTACAGCTATTAAAAAAAATAGGGCAATAAATAAAAAGAACATGTTGGAGCCAGAGAGCATGCATTCAAATTTCAACTCCATCACTTGGTTTTGTAACTTTGGAGCAAGTTATTTAATGTCTGTATGCCTTAGTTTCTTCATCCATAAAATGGGAATAGTAACATTGTCTATATAGGATGATGTGAGGATTAGGTGATTTACTATCTGTGAAGTGCTTACAATGATACCTGGCATATAGCGAATGCTATATGTTCTATGCTCTACATGATGTTGTTGTTATTAAAAAGGTATAGGGATAGAAGGGAAAGGGTGCTGCTTTTTATAAAGTAAAAAGCTTTCTTTTAAGAAGACATCTGAGCGGTGGTGCATGCCTGTAATCCCAGTGGCTGGGGAGGCTGAGGCAGGAGGATCGAGAGTTCAAAGCCAGCCTCAGCAACTTAGTGAGACACTGTCTCTAAATAAAATTCAAAAAGGGCTGGGGATGTGGCTCAGTGGTCGAGTGCCCCTGGGTTCAATCCCCAGTGAAGAAGAAGAAGAAGGAGGAGGAGGAGGAAGAGGAGGAGGAGGAGGAGGAGGAGGAGGAGGAGGAGGAGGAGGAGGAGGAGGAGGAGGAGGAGACAACATCTGAAAAGAGACATGTAAGGAAGTGAGAGCATGAACCTGTGGACACCTGGCACTCCAGGCAAAGGGAGCAAGTGATTGCAAAGGCAGGGAGGGCAGTACTGTTAGAAATGCATGATAAAGGTTCAAAGGGTCTGAATGAGGCTAAAGATAAATGAAAAAAGAATAGAAAGGTAGGAGATAAGATCAGGTTGACAATGATGTGGTAGTGAGGTAATCATTTGGGTCTGTGGGTTTATCTGATGTTCCTGACTCTTAGAGGGCTTTGAGCAGACGGTGTTAGAGGCTGGCTTTCTTTCTTTCTTTTTTGAGCAGGGGTGGTACTGGGGATTGAACTCAGGGGCACTTGACTACTGAGCCACATCTCCATCCCTTTTTGTATTTTATTTAGAGACAGGGTCTCACTGAGTTGCTTAGCGCCTCGCTTTTGCTGAGGGCAGGCTTTGAACTCATGATCCTCTTGCCTCAGCCTCCCAAGCTGCTGGGATTACAGGTGTGCACCACCTCACGTGACTGGCTTCCTTTTTCAGAGGGATAGCTCTTCTACCAGATGGAGAGTGAAGAATAGAGTGAAAAAGTGGAAGCAGGGACATCAGTGAGAGACTATTAGAATAGTTGAGGCAAACAGTCACTATGACTTAACTCTTAGAAGGTCAAAGTGTTACAGAGCCATTGATGGTGGTGCACACCTGTAATCCCCAGGGGCCCAGGCAGGATGATCTCAAGTTCAAAGCCATTTAGGGCCTCAGCAATTTAGAAGGCCCTAAGCAATTTAGCAAGGCCCTGTCTCTAAAAAAAAAAAAAAAAAAAAAAAAAAAAGGGTGGGGGGGTGGGTTTGAGGATTAAAGCCCCGGGAATAAAACCCCTATTACAAAAAAAAAAAAAAAAAAAAAAAAAATGTATTACAAAGCAAGGGCCTGCAGTAGAGCCAAGGCAGTCATGGAGGTCCTCAGTTACTGGTTCTTATAATTATGCCAGAAAGATTTCAGACGTATCGCTCAGAGTAATAGGCATGAGGGATAGGAAAAGGGACAAAAAGGACACTCTCAAAGGAGAGAGTAGGTCCTCTCAGAGAGAAAAAGAATGGTGCACCCCTCCTACCCTCCAGATTTATTGGTGGGGGTAGGGCTGAGGGAAATTTCCAGAGAGTCCCACCCAGGTCCACCTCTTGACTTCTGACTGATAGCAGGATTGCATCAGACTGTCAAGTCCCCACTTCACAGGGCCTTACCCCATGGAAGAGAGATCTTATTATGATAATGGCATGCTAAAAATCCAAGGCAACTCTGAGTCACCTTGGCCCACATTAACTGGTTGTTATGTTCATCTCTCCTTGAATTCTGAAATCTGGTTGGTGTAAAGGTCACAAAAGTCACCCTCCTCCTTTAGGGTAACTTGTGCTTTTCTTATCAGTAGAGAGGAGTTTGGGGATCTGCATATCGCCTGAAGATAAGAGTTGTTTGCTAAAAATGTAATATATCCTATTGAATTATACTAGGCAGGGCTGCACATAAATTGCTTTTTAAAGGAAAGCATGTTGGGGTCAGTCAACTCACTAGGCCCAATTTACAGAATTATCCCTTGAACCTCATGTTCCCACTGCTTATTTCTGTTACCTATTGAAAGGAGTTAGATTCTGGATATAATTTGAAGGTAGGGGCTACACTATTTGTTCATGGATTAATTACAAGCTTTGAGAGAAAGAAAGGACTTAAGACCTGAGTTTTTGGTAAAAATGAGCCGTCATTTATTATATGTTAAATGACAAAATTGCAACAACTTATTTTAAAATCTCCACCTCCTCCTCTTTCTTTTTCCCCTCCTCCTCCTCCTCTTCTTTTTCTTCTTCCTCTTCTTTTTGTTGCCCTGTTCCTAAAAGTACTGCAGTACCAGGTGGATGCGTGGAGTGGATGGAGAAAACTCCTGTTCCCTTTCCCTTCTTCAAAAATCCATTAACTATATTGTCCTCATATAGAGGAAATATCAGATAGTGAGTTGTAAATTGATAAGAACAGATTCGCCAAAAGGTCAAGAAGGATAGTTTAAAGATCTTAATTGGCTTTATTTTTGATTCTAGAGTTAGGCAACATTGCATTCTATAAGTAGAATAAGTGTTCCAGGGTACTGAGTAGTACCAGCTTGGTATTACAGAAAGATAAAGGCTGAAAAAAGCAGCAACAAAGAAGACAAAGTAGGCTGCTCATTTTAAGTTACTTCCTTTCGAGGCAGAGACAAAATAGAAAAATAACTGACTAGTTAATATCAGGTTATTTCGAGGCATTTCTTTTGTGTAAAGCTTAACTTTACTATTATGAACTATTAGGAAATTCAGCTTTTATCTCTCAAATGCTGATTTCTCTGAAGTTTAGATAAACAGTTTACTTTCAGATTGGTGATGTGGAAATATAAGGTCAATATGTCCATTTTGATTTCTATCCTGGTTGTTTAGGTTCTAGTACAGAAGCCTGTTCCAAACAAGGCTTCCTATAATTTTTATTTAATACTGAGATGGGAAAGACTGGGAAAACAGTATGCTTGGGGAGGTAGTGAGGTTGGATATCAGAACCGGATAAGTCATATATATTGTATTGTTATTAGACATCTGAATGGACATATCAAATAGACAGTTGAGGAGATGATCTTGTTGAGAGAAAAATCCAGGCTAGAGATATAACTTGAGAAGTCGTTGAAAAAGAAAAGCAACCTGAGGCCTGAGCTCTGAGACATTCTTCTAGAGCAGAGAAGATGAGGAGGCCCTAGCCCAGGCTCCTGCTGGGTTCTCTGAGGGAACAAGTGACCTGTGTTTGAGAAACAGAAAGAAGGCCAAATTAGCAGAGAATGGGTGAAATGGAAGAAGAGTAGAAAAGAAAGTTTTCTTCCCCTGCTCTCATCCCAGGACCTTGGGCATAATAGGCAAGGACTTGACCACTATGCTACATCCCCAGCCCTGAAAAAGTTATAAGGAGGAGAATGATTTGATCTGATCCAAATTTTAAAAAGTTGATTCTGGCTCATGCTCCAATATGTCCCATTTATTTACACAGAATTTTAAAAAGATGCTTAGTTAAGGGCTAAGTCCTAATACAAATAGTTTCTTGTTTAAGTTCATTCGGGGTGAATAGATACAGGAGGGTTAGAATGGAAGCAGAGAGACACAGTAGGTTCTTGCATTAGGCCAGATGAGAAATGGTGATGCCTTGAACTGGGGACAGAGCAGTATGAGCACAGAATAAGACACATCTGAGTGGTTCTCCAGAGGACTGACTAATGGATGACACATGAGATTTGGCTGAGATTTTGGATGGGGGCACCCACCTCTCGCTGACATCTGGGAGCACTTTACTGTATGGCAGAACTTCATGCAAGATATTGGCCAAAATGAGGAGCAAAGACCTGCAGATGACATGTGGTAATTCGGGGGATGATTTAAATAGAAACGCTTCCACTCATCTCATACCAAAAAATAATTAGTGGATTGAATGACTAATCACCAGATGTAGGTAAGCAGATGCTAACTTGTTATTTTTAGAATGGAAGCACATGCTATATGAGGATAGTTGAGACGCATACTCATAAATCCTATATTATGGCAGGTAAGTAATTAGATATTAGAGCAACTTTTTTTTTTTTTTTTTTTAGTGTGGTACTGGGAATTGAACCCAGGGGTGTGCGCTGCCACTGCGTCACATCCCTTGTCATTTTTATTCTGAGATAGGATCTTGCAAAATTGCCCAGATTGGTCTTGAACTTGTGATCCTCATGCCTCTGCCTCCTGAATAGCTGGGATTACAGGAGTGTGCCACACAAGGACTACAGGAAGCATATTTAAATAATAATATGTTTAATATTTAAATAATATAAATAAATATTTAAATAATATTTAAATATCCATGTTTAAATAAAACTTCTTTTAAATCTGAATTACTTTATGTGGCATATGCATAACACTGCTACAATTTTCTTATTCTTGTCTCAGTTTTGTTGACAAAAATCTATTCTATTGATATATCTTGGCATTTTGATCTCAAACTTAGCATTACAAGTTGCTTTTTTTTTTTTTTTTGGTTTGTTTTACTAGTTTGGGGCTAGTAAAACAAAACTTCTTTTGTTGTTGTTGTTCATGTGTTACAATGTATAACATGTACATTTTTCTGAAATATTTTTTAAAAAGCATTAGGTTCCCAATCTACAAAAAAATATAAATAAAAAACAAGAAAGAAAGATTTTGCAAGTGAATTATTTAAAATGTAGAACACATTTTCCCATATAAATAGTAAGGAACTTGAGGGGTAGCTTGGTGGTAAAGTGCTTACCTAGCATATTCAAGGTTCTGGGTTCAATCACCAGGACCAAAAAAGAAAATCATAGGTACTGTGAGGTAAATAAATATTTAATTTCTGTTAACTTATAAATGTTATTTGTGGTTATAATATTATTTATGATGTCACTCCTTTCTGAAAACAATACTTTTGCAATATTTTGTAGTTAAAGAAACAAGAAGAAAAATTGTTTGGTTTTGAGGGAGTCATTTTTCATGAATGCTGGTCCTTGTAGAAAAGCAGATTTTAAGAGACAGTGAAGAGTTTCTGGGAGGTTATGCAGTTGAGGAGGGAAGAGAAGCAAGGATGTACAAGCAGAGAGCAGAGTCCTATCCAGCCACATTGGAGCCTGAAGCAGAAGAGAAAATGTGCCCTAATAGAACAGGTATCCTTTCCCCAGATTTTGCAGGGAGGCTACTGGAGATTGATCCTAGGGGTGTTCTACCACTGAGCTACACCCCCAATCCTTTTTATTTTGAGACCTCAAACTTGTGATCCTTCTATCTCAGTTTCTTGGGTCCCTGGGATTAATAACACCACTCCTGGCATCCTCCTGTATCTTGAATCAAGTGGAAAAAGTCAACAAAAGCTCTACAATTTAGGAAAATGTCTATACATAAGGCCTCACAATGTCCATATGTTCTCATACTACTATCAACTCTCATAAACCTGCCCTGTGGTGGGGGATTGTGATGATGTCAGGATGGTAGGGGGACAGTGGGTGCACCAGGTGTCCAGCAGCCAGCAAACCACTGGCTCAGGATTGGAAAGGACTGTTCCCTTTGCATAATCACATGGGTTTTGAAACAGGCCACTTGTCTATATTTAAAATTCAGATACTGTATTTTTTTAAAAAACATTTTTTTTGGTTGTTAATGGACCTTTATTTATTTATTTTTATGTGGTACTGAGAATCAAACCCAGTGCCTCACACATGCCAAGCAAGTGCTCTACCACTGAGCCACAACTCCAACCCCCAGATATTATATTATTTTTTTAATCTCTTTTTTTGTGTGTGTGGTGCTGGGGATTGAATCCAGGGCCTTGTGCATGTGAGGCAAGCACTCTACCAACTGAGCTATCTCCCCAGCCCCTCAGATACTGTATTTTGTTCATCAGGAATGTTTATGTATTTTTTAGCAAATTTTTAGAACTACTGCATCACACAATTATTTATTTATTTATTATTTTTATTACTGAGTGGGTTTTGGTGCTCCCTTGTTCCTCATCTCAATCCCACACTGGGTGGAAGCAGTAGGAAAGGAAGCTGCAAATGTCTCCCCCTAGAAAACCCTCACTCTTTTCCTTTCTTTCTTCTTCCCCCCTTCCTTTCCTCCCTTTCTTTATTTTTGTCTTTCTCCCTTTCTTGTTTTCTTTCCCTTCTCTCTTTCTGTCTGCCCACCTCCCCCCAACACACACTGCTATCTTTTCTTACTGTGGTCTGTGTCTCCCTCCCTGGTTGTTAAAGAAGCTTATCAGGTACTGGGGGCTAGGAACTGGAAAGAGGACAGTATTCAGTTTGAATAAGGTTTTGAAATGCTCAACTCTAAAAATCATGGTTAGCGTCAGGCATGGTAGCACATACCTGTAATCCCAGCAGTTCAGGAGGCTCAGGCAGGACAGCCTCAGCAACTTATGGAGGAGAGGACTGAAGCAACATAATGAGATTCTGTTTCAAAATAAACCAGGAGGATGGCTCAGTGGTAGACCACCCCTGGGTTCAATCCCAGTACTAAAAACAAACAAACAAAAAAAGTCATGATTAACTCTTCCACATTTCCAAGCATGGGGGCCAAGAGTGGGTGGCCTGGCTCTAGGAGCTGCCAGGTTCACATATGTTGATAAAGGCATTTGGAGGAATAAGAAAAGATTTGAAGCAGCTTGGTAGGAAGAAGAAGAAATATTCCTTAAAAAGGATGTATGCAAGTGTGAGAAACCATTGCCTGAGGTGGAATCAACTTGGCTATGAGTAGCTAAATCCAGGGAAAGTTGGGGTGGGTGGAGAGACTGGGTTTTGAAGCACATTGTCTGTGGCAAAAGTTGAGTAGGAAGAGTTTTTAGTCAGTTCTTCACCCTGGCCACAGAGTGGTGCTGTTGGAACAAGACTGTCTTCACTTGGACTTGGCCAGGGGGCCTCAGGAACCCTGGGAATGGAGATGAGGAGAGGGAGGCTCAGAGATCTGACACACAATTTGTGAATATCAGAAATTTACAAGTCAGGATATTGTAACATGCATTTATTTGCATTTATGTACACACAGTAAGTACCTATTTTAAAGTAGTAATAACTTGCAGTAGATGTTTTTCAAACATTCCTAAAACCACTGCTTTTAAACTGCAGAGTGCTCTGAACTTCACTGTGACAAAAGGATGTTTCCAGCTAGACCATTTTACCCTGACACAGAAAAAACTTCAGGACAATGTTAGAGGTAATTGGAGCATTTTAATGCATTCAGAGAAATTAACAGTAACTAGTTGGACAAAGGTATCATTATTCTTTTTTTTTTTTTTTTTCTTTGTGGTGCTCGGAGTCAAATCCATCAAGACGAGGTAAGCCCTCTACCACTGACCTGCACCCCCAGCCCAGGTATCATTATTCTTTAGACACAGACTGAGCACATATGTAGTGGACAAACTGTTTTAATTGGACATTGACTGAAAGGGACTGGCAGAAAGAGAGCCCATGGAGTTCAAGATCCCTATTTCAGAAATGCGTTTTC